AATAATAACAAAAAAAAAAAAAAAAAAAAAAAAAAAAAAAAAAAAAAAAAAAAAGAAAGAAAAGAAATAGAAAGTTGTTCAAACAAGGCCAAACTCCTATGAGCTCCTGCAGTCAGGGCAGGGCTACCTGTCCGGGGACATATACAGGACTCCTGGGGGCTGGGAATGCATTTGCAAATGCTCTTGAGGAGAAGGCTATTTCATGACCATTATGGACTTGTTCATTTAAGATTCCTGCGCCTTTCTGCATGATTATTAAACACCAATAAAAAGGCACTTAAAAACTGAAGGGAGCTGGGCATAGTGCTGCACTCCTGTAATCAGAATTGCCAGTTTGAATCCAGCCTGTAAAACTTAGTGAAGTCCTGTCTCAAAATGAAATTATAGGAAGGGCCAGGGATGTAGCCCAATGCTAGAGCTCTCATTCAGCATGTGGGAAGCCCTGGGTTCAATACCCAGTACTGCAAGATCTAAATTTTATATTTATTTATTTTGAGACAGGGTCTCACTTTGTAGTTCAGGCTGGCCCTGAACCCATCATGCAACTCAGGCTGGCCTCAAACTTGAGGCAATCCTCCTGCCTCTGCCTCCCCAGTGCTGGGATTACTGGCGTGAGCCACCACACCCAGCTTTCAAAATCTAAATTTAAAAAAAAAAAAAGTAGATTGAAGGGGGAGGAGCAAGGCAGAAGATGAGGTCCAAGCCCAAGGCCAGGCACACAAAACCCAAGAACTGAGCTGTTCTGTTAGAACACCAACAGCCCCAAGTCACATCATACACAGGGGATGGAGGAGAGCAGGAGAGGAAGGGGGCAGCAGAGGGACTTGCTCAACCAGGGATGAGAAATGGCCAATCCCCCAGCTGCCCCAGAGGGTCAGACAAGGCAGAGAAGGAGGGCAGGGGATTTCTCCGGGACAATAAGAGAATGCAGTGGGCTGTGGTGCAGTGGCACGTGGCCGAATGCTCCTAAGGGTGGGGTTCCTGGAAAAGCACAGTCACCATTACCACCAGCTGAGTACGGTGGCCCATCTGTGCCTGGAATCTCAGCACATGGAAGGCAGAGACAGAAGGATGCTCAGTTTGAGGCTATCCTCGGCCACATAGCAAGTGTGAGCTAGTGTAGTGAGACCTTGTCTCAAAAGAAAAAAAAAAAAAAATCCCAGGCCTCACCTAGGCCTCCTGTATCAGAATTCCTGGCACAGCCCAGTCATCTGTGTGTTAACAAGCGCTCCAGTGACACTGATAGCTGCTCAAGTTGGAAAACCAATGCCTTGAGAACTGAGCCAGCAAGAACAGGCATCGAGGAAGAAAGAGAGGTGGCATCCAGCTCCCTCCAAGCTTTGGTGCCCAGGGGCAGGGAGGGTGGAGCCTGCTGGTAGAGGCAGACGAGTTTCCTGCCTGTCCCCACGCATCCCATACCCTGAACCACTCACCCAGCCCCCAGGAAGCATCTGGGAAGCCCGTACGCCTGACCGCTTGGAGGCCAGGAGGAACGGTGGCCGGTTCACATGTTTGCATTCTGTCTCCCGAGGAAGCCAGGAACCCGGACCAGAAGTGGCCTAAGGGAAAGGAAGGAAGGTGAAGAGGCCCTGAGAGTGGCAGGCAGGGCCTTAAAGTGAGTGGCCCCATGGCCCATGCCACCCGCTCTAACCCCTGGCAGTGAAGTGCCTCTCCAGGCCCCCAAGGACCCTCGTAGTTGGGTAGGATGAGAGATGCTCCACACAGCAGCCTGGGAGTGATATCCCTTCCTGGTTTCCCTTCTGGGCCCCAGTTTCCTTTTGTGAACTGTAAATGAGAATCCCTCCCTGGGGGACCAGGGTTGGAAGTGGCCAGGCCTCAGGGACGTTGGTACCCTGTTCCTTCCTCCCCTGCCCCCAAGGGTCTGCTCAAAGTCTGGTGGCTTCCTCCCTCCTGCAGAGCAAAGCCTGCCCCCAGGCAAAGCCCATCACTTCCTGGCCTGCCAGAGCTCAAAAGGCGGACCCCCTTACCCTCCGCCCTGACCCAGTCTCTCCTTGCCCTCTTCCCAGTTCCTGAGGGCACTGGCTGGTTGTCCTGGGATCCAGGCACTGCCATGGGAACCCCATCTAATTCCCACTCATTCTTGCTGCACTGAGGACCCGTGACCAAACTAAGGCTCTCCCCCAGTGACTGGTAAGTGCAAGACCAGGATTGGAAACCAGATTAGCACCCCACACCCCTCCCTGAAGGACAGCTGCCTTTCCAGAGCAAGGCAGGTCACCAGCGCATTACTGACTAGTTTCTGGGGGCACTGGCTAAGAGTGGACCAGAAAATTCTCTCTGTGGGGGTTTCCGGATTTCGAGGAACTTTAGAAAAAACCCCATGCTTTTTCCTGTGGCGTGAGTCGAGTTCCTCCACAAAACTCTTGAAGTTCATCAGTTCCTTGGGCTTTTTTTTCTGGAGAAACAGAGAGAAAGATGTTAAAATGGGGAAATGGACCCTTACTCAACATTCCCCAGCAGTCACTCAAAGTCCCCTGGCTGCATGGAAACGGATGCCCCACCCACCAACAGGCCAGGGTGGGTCGGCCCCTACCCCGATCTGCAGCCCCACTCTGCATCACCGGAAGGCCATCACCTGGAGCAAACGTGGGTGCGGCCGTGTGATGGGGAAGGCAGAAGGACACAGAAACTCTGTACTTGCCTCTCAATTTTCCTGTGAGCCCAGACTCACTCTAAATACATGATCACTTACAACAAACCAATGGACTGGGGACCAGAGTGGGGGCTGGCTGCGAGGGTTCCCAAGGCTCCTGCTGTGCCTGGTCATCGGGAGGTCTGGGAGGTCCCAGGAGAGCAGCCAGGTCACAAGACAAGGTTTATATTTAGATGTTCCCGCCAAACCCTCACGTGCTCAGCAGTGGGGCTCTGTCTGAGGAGATAACTGGACCGTGGGACGCGCTTCTCATTAGCAGATGAGTTTACAGCTGAATGTAATTAGACAAATTCCTAGCTCCAACTATGAGTAAGAAGAAAGCAAAGTACACCAAGCTGAACAATCACACGGACAGAGGCAGGAAAGGAGGCCAGTGAGCTAAAACTCGACCAGTTTCCCCTCCCAGCTCTCCTGTTCTTGGCCTTGTTTAATAGAACACCGCCACTAAGCCAGCCACCCTGGCTGGGCCAGTGAAGCCTGGGAACGGCTTCCCGACTGCAGGGCACCCACACCTGCATCCTCAAGGTCCCTGAAGGCCCCATGGCCAGTGTCCCCCACCCCTGGCACTGTGGTCCACCCACAGCCCTAGTGCACTTCACGCCGGCCCAGAGAACTGGCCCAGGAATCGGACACAGGCACTTGGGCTCTGTCTCTGACGTGCAGTGCTGGCCTCAGTCTCCTCCTCTGATGTGGGAGCCATCTCCACCAGGCACACAGAGTGCAGTTGCTGGGGTCGATCAGTGTCACCTGCCATCTGCTGGGGACGCCCTCAAAGCCCCCCAGGTGTACACCTGCTCAGAGTAATGTCTGTAAGGCAGGGGCTTGCTTCAGTCACCAGAGAAAGTGTCATAGGGCCCTCGGGTGCCCATGGAGCGTGCCAGGGACTCCTCAAGGCCTCTTTTGATGAAGTAGGTGTTGGGTCCCAGACCGCTCCCCTAGAACACAGCAGAGGGGCAATGCTGAGGCAGGTGCATCGCCCTCCTGGGGCCTCAGTCCCCCTCCTCCAAAGTCTCCCTCAAGGATAGTGTGGGAAGACCTGGCCAGGTGAGGGGTACCTCGTGGGGCCAGGGGGGTGGCTTGCTGGACATCTTGCACATGACGCCCTCAGAATGAGACCGGTTCCAGGCGCTCTCCTCCAGCCGTGTGTATGGGTTGCCCTTCTCCCCATAATTCCCAGGGTCTGGGTAGTAGTTCTGTGGGCAGGAGATGGACACGAAAAGGCCATCAGTCCAACCCTTTGTGCTGGGTCATCTGAGGAAGCCCCAAGAGGGGGACAGGATCTTCAGGCTCTCTGTGTGCTACCTGCCCCCAGCACACAACACAGTCACCCGGAAGCCTCCGCCATCACCCACATCCTCACCCCCACCACAGCTGGGCTTCTTCACCAGGCCCACGCTTGCTTCCTACAGCCAGCGTAGGAGCCTGCCTGCTGCCAGAGCACCGCCATTCCACCGACCTCACACCCGGCTGCCCATGCTGTCACCTGGAATGCCCCTGCCCCTCTGCTGTAGAAAACCCCCTCAATCCTGCCGAGCCAGCTGACACCTCTGTCTTGGGAGTGAAGCCTGTCCTGCCCGATACCCAGGAAGAACCTGCTCCACAGCCTCATAGCTCCATCCTTTACCCCTGCACCCCACGCACACCTGCGTGGACAGTGTTAAGGCACAGAGGCACCCAGAGCCCTGGCTCCGGGCCTTCCTAACTGGGTGAGCACAGGCCCCACACATCACCCTGGAGGAAAGAAGTGAGTGGGGTGACTGGTGCCCCTGGAGAGCAGGAGGAGGGGGAAGAACTGGGCCTCTGACCGTCAGAGGGCAGCAGGATGCTCTGGGGCTGGAGGGAAGTCACTCTGCAGAGTTGCAGGTGCACCAATCGGCCTCATGGGGTCACTGCCACCCCACAGATGGCTCAGCTCTGCCCATCCCAGCTTTGAACCTGGTCGGGGAAAGCCAAGCCAAGCAGACAAAGCCAGGGGGCTGGGGCATCTGCTTTGCTTGTCCCCAGGGCAATGGGACTAAACCTTATTTCCTACAGGGCTCCACGTGCCCTGGTGGCTCTTAGAGAAACCCCAAGGTAGGAAGCTGGGCCTCTAAATCTGTACTGGGTCTGTCTTGGTCCTGGCAGCAACCAGATGAGACCAACTCAACACTATCTAAATTTGTTTGTTTGCTTTGAGGCAGGGTCTTGTTATATAGTTCAGGCTGGCCTTGAACTCACTAGGTAGCTCTCACTGGCCTCAAATATGCAGCCACCCTGCCTGAGCCTCCTAAGAGCTGGGCTTACAGGTATGCAGTGCCACATCCAGCTACACCACTCATAATTAACACATGGGTTTCAGAGAGGCAAACCACATGTCCACACTACCAACTCCAGAAAAGAGTGACAGGGCCAGGGATTTAACTCAGCAGTGCCACACCTGCCTGGCAAGTGCAAGGTCCTGAGTTCGATTCCTGGTACCAAAACAAAACGTTGAAAGGAGCAACGTAGGTTTCCAGCTCCAAAAGCCATGCTCCTTCTGAGCCTGTGGAGTTCTCCAGGTAGTAGACTAGGTGGGTGGAGGGCACGCCAGGTCCCTGAGCGGTCCCTACCCTGGGCATTCATGGACAGCACCAAACCCATCAGTGCTGCACTCACTGACACAGTCTCATTTCTGCCTTAAGACTTTCAAGTTCAGACCAGGCATGGCTGTGCATGCCTGTAATTCCAGCACTCAAGAGGCTGAAACAGGAGCAACTCCACAAATTCAGGGCCAACTTGGAATACATAGTGAGACCCTGTCTCAAAAAAAAAAAAAAGACTTCCAAGTTGAGAGGTTTAGCATCAAATTTGAGATCACCAGAAAGCCTACATTTTAACTAGAATATGGCCGTGGCGGAGCTTCTGGGACCTGGACAGGAATGACCGATTCAGGGGAGAGGATGAAGGAATGGTCGGTCACTTGCAAGTTTTTTTTAAACTAGACCTCAAAGACTGAGACAAATCCCCAAAGAAGGCTACAGGGGGAGGAGGGGAGGTCCAGAAGCAGCGAAGACGGATGTCCCAATGCTGGGGATGGGGGTAGAGGAGGAAGACAGTACTCAACTTGTCCCCCTAACATCTCTGCCATCAGTTGGGCTGAGCCCTGGCATTAGGCCCTGTTCTCTACAATAAGGAACCAAACCCAAGAGCTAAGTGCGTGGAGCCTCTCAGGAATGTGCCGTGGCTGCAGACTGGACATCTTGGTTTCCATTCCTGCTGTTGCCACCTAGCAGCTCTGTGAGTTTGACCTCGAGGTTACTCAGCCCCTGACCTCGGTCTGTGCCGTCTGTGAAGTAGACACAACAGCAGTGCCTGCTTCATAGGGCTGTCGTGAGGATGAGCCAGACATATTACTAAATGTCCCTCTCCCCGAGTGCAGTTTCGGCTTCTGCGCCTGCAGAAACATCGCTGGGCTCTCTGCTAAAGACCTGAATACGATCGCATCCATCCCTGCCAGAACATACAGCAGCCAAGGACTGCAAGGCTGAGGCACAGAGAGTGGCTGTGGGGCCTGGAGAAGCGGGTGGCCAGACCGGGGAGCAGACAGGACGTGGACACAGGTGTCTGCTGTGCCACCTACCCCTATGAGTCCTGAGAAGCGGGTCTCCCCAGAGCTGAGCAGCCCTCGCGTGCTGCTCGGCTTCCACTGAAGCTCTTCCAGGAAGCCTTGGATGTTGTAGGAGCCAGGCCCCAGCTCCTGCGCCTGTCCGGGAGAAGGAGGGAAAGATGCAAACCGTACACCCGAGAACGTCCACTCAAGAAGGCGCGAGGGATGATGGTGCTCCTTCAAGGATGATGAGTCCACCTGACCTGGGAGGACTCTGAGGGCCACACGTGGCCAAAGACCTCACCTGTAGCCACCTTTCTTTCATGAGGGCCTCATACCAGAAGTGGGGCAGCTGAGTGAGCCGGGTGGCTTCCTGTGCCCGGGCCCAGCCTGTGCCCACCTCCTTCTTCAACTTCTTCTTGCTGAAGCAGGTCTCCTTGCAGCTGTAGGTCCCAGGGCCTATGTGGGACTGAGTCGGAGCACGGTCAGAGCTGGGCCAGCCACCCCCAGACAGGCAACCCCAGGCCCAGTACTCCCCAAGGTACCCTCACCCTGGAGTCGGGGCCAGCACCAGAATGCAATCACAACCTCTCCCTTACTGGCCCGGTCACACCTTATGGGGGACAGTAACTCATTCAGAGGCAAGGGCCGTGCATCCCCATGAGATAGGGCAGGAAGGCTGGCAACCCACCACTGCCACAGAATGGCTCCAGGAGTATGGGGCCTCCGTGAATGTGCTGCATTTCTTCTGGTTGGGATAAACAGCGGAGACGTCAAACCTAGGAGGACAGAGGCCCATTGGGAGACCAATGCCTGACTCCTGGCCAGGGCTTGGGCAGCCCTGGGATAGCGGAGTGGGTGTCCCGAGGGATGTGACTTCAGCCCACCAATGGTAAACAGCAGGGATGCAGTGGCTCTGACCCACCCGGGCCATGCCACACCCACTAGCACTGCCTCTAGCTTGGTTTTTCTCCAAAGCCTCTATTAACCAACATATACTGTTACATATACACAAACACCATAAATAATAACTATATATATTTGTTTATTATGCACCCTGCCGTTCCCATAGAAATGTAAATTCCCTGAGTCTAGAGTCATTGCTCTCTGGACTCGGGGAATTTATTCTGTGGGAGAGGATCCACATATATAGGGATTTGCGGTTACAGCTACAGCACGTAGTAGGTGACCCGGAAATGGCTTTCTGGAACTTACTAAAGGAAGCAGGAAGTGGGCATGGTAGCACATGCCTGTAAACCCAGCTCTCTGAGAGGCTGAGGCAGGAGAACTGAGACCACCAGCCTGGGCAGTTTAAGGATTTAGCAAGACTTCATCTCAAAATTGAATAAACACATAAGGGGCTCAGTGTGAAGGGTTCAATACTCAGCATCATTAAAAAAGAAAAAAGAATTCAGGAGGGAAAAGGGCCTGGACCCGAAAAGTGCCCCCAACGTGGCTCCACCTCCTTCTGGTTCCTTAGAGGGGCTGGGCGGGGATGGCAGGGAGCAGGTGCCCCGGTGCAGAGGGCCCACCTGTGGCTCTGCACCCCGAAGGGCGCCCCTCGGAACCACTTGGTAGCCGCCGACATGGTGTTTGCACCCTCAGAGCTTCGAGGTCCTGCGAGAGCCAGGGTGGTGCTCCCGGCGCCCGGCCACCTCGCCAGTCAACACCTCACTGACTGCGCCCCCATCCGCGCTGCCTCGGCAACCCGAGCCTTGTGACCCGCGGCCGCCGCCCCACCCCTTCTCATTGTTCTGTTTTCCACGCCCCTGATCCCCGCAGATGTCAGGGCGCCTCCTGGTGTTAACGCAGAGCGCTTGGCCCGGCTCTTGAGTCGTTTTGCGGAGATATTCCTGATTGCAGCCTGGGCCTCTGTGATTCTAAGCTCACCTCAGGCTGGCGGGAAACTGAGGCCCAGCAGAGTGGGGAAAAGACTGGGGGAAAGGCGGTGAGGCTGCTGCTCCACGAGGGGAGGGAGGAGAAGGGTAACCAGGCAAGGAGTACAGGGCAAGCTGCGGAGTTGGGTGAAGGGATGCAGGGTGCAGACGGTGCCCCAGACCACAGGCGGCCCCTGCCCTGAGAGTCTCACAGGGAAACAGTGGCCACACAGCGGGTCAGGCCCGAGAGAAGGCCCTACGCAAGTCTCAGAGGGCTTCCTGGAAAATTCAAGCTGAACTCCCAACAGCACAGTGGCTGTTCCTTCTACTGTACCTTTCCCCAGCCACCCAGACGCCTTTGCTCTCCGTGGCCTTAGATTCAGAGGCAGCGGTCCACACCCTAGTCACAGGATTGATCAGAGTGCAGGATCGTGAACCAACCGGACCTCCCCACCCCATGCCCTCTGACATTGCCCCAGCAGGCTGAGCGCTGGGTGTTTGGCTCTGGGCCTGGGGGGCACATGGCCTCGGCTGGCAGATGACACCTACCCTGCACCACGGAGCCATGGGCAGAGTGACAGCTGCAGGAGCACAGCCAGAAGGCACCTGGGTCTCCTGACTGGGTCAGGGCCTCTGGCTCACAGCAGGGCTCAGGGCTCAGGAAGCATCCCACACCCCTGAGCAGGACCAGGATGGTCCTCCTCACTCTTCCCTCCTGCCACACATTCAGTGTCTGTGCACGTTTGCCGAGTGACAGACTATGAACCCTCTTTCTTGTAACCCACAAACCCCTCCCAGAGATGTGGGTTTGAATCCTGCCCTGATCTCGAACTCACAGCGATCCTCCTGCCTCAGCCTCCCGAGTGCTGGGATTACAGGCTTGCACCAAAACGCCCAGCTGGCCTTTTTATTTATTTTTATTTTTTGAGCTAGGGTCTTGTTGTGTAGTTTGGATTGGTGGTCTCAGGTGGATGGGGCCTGTGACTGCCACTTCCTAGAGGGGCTGTCTTGTTTGCGAGGGGCATGTGAGTAGGCACTGTACCCATTCCTGGGTGCTCAGAGGCCCTTCGACTGGCCCAGTTGGCCCCTGTGTTGCTGCAGCCTAGAGGAGCTGAGCTCACTGCTTCTCTTCACAACCAGCCCCTGGGCTCCAGGACTCACGCAGGCACAGGCAGGGAACTTAAGCCAAGGTCCACTGGGCCAGAAGTCCTGATGCCACACAGGCTGGGACAGGCCAGGGTGAGTCAGCACCGCAGTGAAGCAGCCTGGGATGCCCAGCCTTTCCTGGCACAGCAGTGTCCTTAACCGGCACCTAATTGGCTCTCACAGGTGCTGCTGCAGTCTGCCCCACCTGCCCGCACAGGAAAGGAAGCTGAGGCTCAGATAGGAGGCTACACAGCTCTGGTCAGTTGAGGGACACATGATGGAAAGGGGGCTCCGTGGCATCTGAGAGTTCCCGGCGTGGAGGGTTTAACCCACCCACAAGCGGGAGCCCCATGATGGAGTCTGGTGAGCTTCTCAGCTGGACTGAGGCCTGAGCTGGAGGCACTTTGGTCCCCTCTCCCCTACCTCTTCACCACATGAAGTTCGGGACACAGGGCCTGCCCTGTCCCAAGGGCACACGGTGCATCAGGGAATCTCTGAACTTTTCAAACCTTTCCTGCTGCTGAAACGCCTCCCCTTTCCTCCCCTCCAATTCCTCCTCATCTCCTCAGAGCCACAGAAAAAGCCAAGCCCACCTATGCAGATGGCTATTATTAAAAACAGAAAATGACACACGTTGGCAAGAATGTAGAGAAATAAAACCCTTGTGCATTGCTGATGAGAAAGAGAAATTGAGGAGCTTCTGGGGAAAACATCATGGCAGCTTCTCAAATAATTAAACACAGAATTACCATGTGATGTGTAAATCTCACTTCTAGGAAGCCAATCCATACACTACATCTGTAATGCATACAGAACAGAATTGGCTGCGCATAGCAGCTCTGTTCACAAGAGCCACAAGCTAGAAGCAACGTGTACACCAATGGATGAGTGGATAAATGAGCTGTGATACACACAGATGGTGGAATATTACTCAGCCTTTAAAAAGGAAATTCTGATACATGCTACTTGAATATACCTGAAGACATTAGGCTAAGTCAGACACGAACAGATACTGTACAATTCCACTTATATGAAGTATGAGAGTTAACAGCATAGAGTCAGAAAGTAGAGTGGTGTTTGGCAGGTGCTGGGAGAGGAAGAGGGGAGTTATTGCTTAATGGATATGGAGTTCCAATTTGGGAAGATTAAAAAGTTCCAGAGATGGAAGATGAGGCTGGTCGCACAACAATGCGAATGTACTTAATGCGGCTGAACTATACACCTAAAAATGGTAACTTTTATGCAAAGTATATGTTGCAACAATTCTTTTTTTTTTTTGTACTGGGGTTTGAACTCAAGTCCTTGCACTTATAAGGCAGGCAGTGGAACCACTGAGCTAAATCCCTGGCCCTGTTGCAACAATTTTCTAAATAAAAGCCAAACTCACCGGGCTTGATGGTGTGTGCCAGCAATCCCAGCGCTAGCTAAGGAGCACCAGGAGTTCAAGGCCAGCCCAAACTACACAGCAAGACCCTAGCTCAAGAAATAAAAATAAATAAAAAAGCCAGCTGGGTGTTTTGGTGCAAGCCTGTAATCCCAGCACTCGGGAAGCTGAGGCAGGAGGATCGCTGTGAGTTCAAGACCAGCCTGGGCTACACAGTGAGTTCCAGGTCAGTCTCAACTACATAGTGAGACCCTGTCTCAAAAAAAAAAAAAAAAAAGGCCAGATTCTTGGGTCTCCATCTCCAATACATCCAAACAGGTGAATTTAATTCCATGCTGGGCAGCAATGTATTTTTTAAGTTATAAACTACTACATATATTAAGCTTTATAGGCAAGGCTGGGATTTAGCTCAGTGGTTCTGCTGCCTGCCTCGCAAGCACAAGGACCTGAGGTCAATCCCTAGTACCAAAAAATAAATAAATAATAAAAATAAATAAAAATTAACAGGTAAAAGTGGCACCAAAATGCTGCTTTGGTTTCTCCTTTTATTGCTGAAGTCAGATATTTTCCCCAAGTCCAACACCGGGCTGCAGATGTCAGTCTCCTTTTGAAGAAGGTGAGACAGCCCGTGGAAGAGCCCAGTCCCCCTCCCCGGGAAGAAGGAGGACCCCAAAATCCTGGGCTGCTGCAGAACCAGGCTATGGAGGGTCCGCCCAGTGGCACGGCCAGGCCACGTCTGCAGGCTCAAGGTCTGGGCTCTGGTCCTCGCCAGAAGACGGATCAGGAAACGAAAACTGGGCCACAGGTGGCATGGGGGCGGGACGGGCACCAGGGCGAGGGTGGAGCCCTCTTATGGGTTCTCCCGTTGTCGTTCCCTTCCCCCTGGGACGGACTGTCATCCTTAAATTGCTGACAAGGAAAGTGGGAAGTGTAGGACAGAGGCGAGGACGGCAGCAGGAGGCGGTGGTCCCTCCACTACAAGGCTTGTCCAGACTTGGCAGCAGACTGGGACTTCAGGCTTTTCTGGGCACGCCCCACTTCTGCGACCTGAGCCAGTCCTTTTCCTCCTCTGAGACTCAGCAGAGAGGCAAAATCTGGGCGCTCCCAGTCAGCAATGCACCTGTTTTTCTGCCACACCTGGTTCTGCAACGCCACATCGGAGAGCCGCTGATCAGCGAAAGCGGAAACACCTGCAGGCACTCCCGACAGA